TCTCCTAAGCTGATGTTATTGTACTTAACCCTTGCTGTTTTTAATATTAAATATGAAAATTACATTGATTTACAAGTCTTTATCACCATCACTGAATATAACTTCTTGTTATGTTTCATTGAAAAGCAATACTCAAAGAAATCAGAATTTATCTTCTGGAAAAGAAAACTCAGTGGAGCCCCAGGGCTGTGTGGATCGAATACTGAATATTATTCAAAGAATTCTCCTGCTTTCTAGTTTTCTTAATATATTTATCTTTTTAAGCTACCAGAAATATTTGAATGAAAATAGGAGCTGTTTTCTGCGCCATCTTACTTCATTCAGCATCTTATTTCTTGCTCAAAATGCTGTTTGTGACGTCCCAACTAGTTACTGTATCTGAATGAGGTCTGTCTCCTGGAAATACTCCATACTCAGACCTCCCCAAGCACTTAAATGGGAATGCCATTCAAAGAGTGCTTCAGAGATTCAAGCTGGCAAATCTAGTTCTTGATTTCACTTCAGGTGAATTAGCTTATTGGCCACTTGGGGTCTCTATTGTTCCATGAGAAACTGAGCACAGTTTAAAAAATACTTTAAAAAATAAATAAATAGATAAAAAAAAATAGACAGACAACAAGTGAACATTCTCCAAGAAACAAACAAACCAAACAACAAAAAACCTGAACCTTTAAATCAATACTAGGGATGTAAAATCCTGTTTAATCAATTAATCAGTTAATATATTTATCTGAAATATATTTATCTATGTTTAATTGGTTAACCATTTTAACAATTTTAACAAGGGCATGTGGGGAGGCTGCTCCAGCCCGGCTTGGCTAGAATTGTCTCCCTTCCACTGTGGCTTGGCTGGAGTGCCTTTGCCTGCAGCATGCTCCAGCCCCTGCTGGTAAACTGTAACTCATAAGCATCACCCGATAAGCATGATGGTAACCAGCAGAGGTGAAATAAGTGTTTGCGCAGCTCTGGCAAGAGCTGGCTTATCTGCAGCAAAAGCCAGTAGGGAGCTATTTAAAGAGCTGGTAGGGACCCGGGTTACAATAGGACAGTACCAGTAAGAAATTTAAGTTACTTTCACTGCTGCTTACCAATCTACCATTCACATCTAGACAGATTTTCTAGACTGTTTAGACCAATCATTTTCCCCTTACAAAAGAAAATCTTCAGTTAACTGGCCATATTTTCACATATTGTAATGGAAAATTTTTAAATTCCAACTGTAAACACTATCCATCACAATATTAGAAGAGTAAGTGAATTCTATATTGTGTTATATATTATGTAATTTGCTTCCAACATCACATACAATTCCTCTTTGATCGTATGATACAATACGTTGTTTAGAATGTTCGCTCCTCAGAGACCTGTCTGTGTTTGTGAAGCACCATGCACAATATTGGTGTTGAATAGATGATACATAAAAATAAATGAAACTATGGACAGGTCTGGACCAAACCCAGATTTGAACACTCATACAATACTTTGCAGACATTCTTGACCACTTCAGACCTGAACTTTGTAGCTCTACTCTCCCCCTCTTGTGATCCAAAGCAACACTGTGGGTCTGAACTCCAACTTTGGGAAGTCAGACTCTGGACCCATTTCTGTATGAAGTATTCTGCAATTTCAGTATGTTAGTAAAATCAAAAAGGTGTGATCTTAACTGAAAGCCCAGAAGAGTGCAAAGCAAGGAATGCAGTGTTAAAACATGCTTTTTTTTACAGAGGCAATTTAATTATGCTTAATGATTACAAGTTTATAGACTATGCTAAACTGTGTTTTAGGCAGCAAGATCTAGAGCAGGGGTAGGCAATAAAAAGGCAGCAGCCACCAAGGCCAGCCCCGATATATTTACCTGCACCTCCACAGGTATTGGCCATCACAGCTCTCACTGGCTGCAGATCGCTGTTCCCAGCCAATGGGGCAGGAGCAAGTAGCATCCTTGTCCACGCTGCTTCCCACCACTCACACAGGCCAGGAATAGCAAACCACAGCCAACGAGAACTGCTATCACTGATACCTGCGGAGGTATACATAGCATTGGGGGCCCAGCAGGGATTAACCCTGCTAGATTGGATCTGGCCCGCAGGCCGGTATTTACCCACTCCTGATCTAGAGGAATGAATGCAGGGATGAGAATCAAGCAATTGTCTTCATAGCTGTTGAGGAAGAACAGAGTCACAGGAGTTGAAGCTGAAGGGACCATTATGATCATCTAGTTTAACTGCCTATATAATAGACTAAAAAATGGTTCAGAAACTGAGCACTGGCTATAGTTTAGAAGGATTTTTTTTTTTTGGTAAATGACTACCTATCTAGAAATGCACATACTTAAACTTGGTAATCTTGTGATCATTTTTTCCTTCATCACATCTAAATGTAGAGCAAGCTCTACTGAGCAGAGACCACACTTTTCTGTATGTTGTAGTATCTAGTGTACATTTGGGCGCTCTAAAAACAACAAATAATACTAATAGAAGAGATTCCATAGTTTGGCCAAGTTGCACTCAGCACTGTTCAATACTCTTCAAAATAGTATTTCTTCATAAATGCTGAAGTGAACAACTCAAGTCATGCTGAATATCTTTCTTAATATCTAACATCTTTCTTATATCTATACATATTTTCCCAGCATTGCTCAAGTCCTTAACCCAATTCATTTTTGGGTTTGTTCATTTAAATCATTTCTCTAGGATGGGGCTAGGGATGAGGGGTTCAGTATGCAGGATGCCTCAGGGAGAGAGGACAACCCCAAACCTCTCTCACCTAGCAGGTTGGGGCAAGTGAGAAGCATTTCTCCATGGCTACTGTAGCTCCAATGGGCACAGCTTGGGGCAGAGTGCATATCCTCTGCCTGGGGAAAGTCCAGGTTTTTCTGCCCCCTGTACTTCCCAGCCAGAGTGACGAATGCAGCCAACGGTGCACTTTCCCCTCACTCCCTGACAAAGAGGAACACCCAGCAATGCTTCTGTACAAACTGGAAGGAAGCTTCAGGGCCTTCTCTAGAGGGTGCCTGACAGGTAGAAAGCTCCGGGTTGGGACAGTCCTGGATGAAGGAGGGGTGCACCCCCACCCAACCTGATGATTCTCTCTTTTCTGTATGGTTTTAGGAGAAGCACTCTCATTCCAGGCACATGCTATTTTCCTGGTACATACAAACCCTGACCTTGTGGAATGAGGAGTACAGCTAGTTCAGAGTAGGAAGCCTAATCGAACTAGCTACTCCGTGCCGCGTGTAGCCACGCAGCACGGGGTTCGAACTAGCCGGGATTTAAAAATGGCGGCGCCCGGCTTATGCAAATGAAGCCTGGGAAATTCAAATCCCGGGCTTCATTTGCAAGTGCGGTATGCCTACATTACCCCGCTAGTTCGAACTAGCCGGGTAGTGTAGACATACCCAGACAGACCAACTTTCTCAAACATATAGTAGACATCTTTGACTAAGAACAAAAGCTTTTGAGAAGGGACCCATTTTTCTTTAGAAGATAGAAAGTTTGCTCTACTAGAGACAATTTTGAGGTGTGCGTATTTTTTTAAAGCCAGATTCAATATCTACTAAGGGCTTGTCTACACTTAAGTGCCACTGCAAGGCTTAAGGTGTCACTTCCACCTCCCCAAGAGATGGCAGCTATGCTGAAAGGAGAAGCCTTCCCTTGAGGTAGCATTGTTTACACTGGGGATTAGGCCAGTAAAACTGTTGTTCAGAAGTGTGGATTTTCCCCAAGTCTGAAAGACAATTACAGTAATTCCTCATTTAACACGTGCCCGCTTAACATGTTTTCGCGATAGCACGATTTTTTTTTTAGTGAACGTTTTTTGAATTACACGACTGTCCCCGGAATAACTCCATTTCCCCAGCCGGCCCATTGCCGGCGGCTGCACGGGGCTTCCCCCGCCTCCCTGCAAAGCGGTGGAGTGTTTGCCGCTCGCTGCGCCGTACCCCACTGACTCCCCTCTCCTCCGCCCCCACTTGCAGGCTGGCGGCTGCGTTTCCCCAGCCAGCCTGTTGCCGGTGGCTGCGCTGGTTTCCCCCAGCCAGCCTGTTGCCGGTGGCTGCGCAGGGCTCCCCCCACCTCCGTGCAAAGTAGCGGAGGGTTCACTGTGCTGTTCCCTGGTGACCCCCCCTCGCCAGACACAGTGTGGGTCCCGGCAGACCAGTCACAGGGCATACTCTCAACCCAATCCCCCTCCCCTCCCCTCTCCTCCCCTTTCCCAGAGCCAAACACCTCCCCTCCTGCTGTAACCCAGTCCCCTTTCTCCCCTAACCTTATGTCCTGGTCCCAACAGACACCACCGCTTGAAATGCAACCCCCAACTTTTCCATTATTTTCAATGGGAAAATTGACCCCCACATAACACGTTTTCACTTAACACGATCCTCCACAGGCCAAGCGGGTTGATCCTGTCTGTGGAGACCCTGCCACTCCCCGCTCCCAAGCCAATTAGGGTCTGGGAGCGGGGGGGAGGAGGGGAGAAACAGGAGGAGCACGTGAAGTTTCATCTGCCCCGCAAGGATTGCATGGCGCTTAGAAGCACCACCCGCTCCCGGCAGGGCGGGAGGAGACTTCGCTTGCTCCCCCACCCGCAGACCAATTATGTATCCTGGCCCCACCCCTTCTGTTTGAGGCCCCGCCCCACTTCAAAAATTTCAGAAGTGGCCCCTGGTAAAAAATTATTGCCCATCCTTGCCTTAGGAACATTCTAACAGAAGTAGTACATTCTTCACATTAATTAGATTATCAAAACATCCCATTTATAAAGGTGCATGACAACAAAATGTAGACACAAGCAGGACCAAAAGTAAATTTCTCTGAAATCATTGGAAGGCTCCCAATTAATTCAGGTAACTTTGGATCAGATTGTCAACCCTCAGAAAACATACAAACTGTAGCAAGCAACCAACCCAAGAACAAAAGATAAAAACATGTCTTCAGTGGAAAGGGTATATTCAACTGGACAGAAATTAGCAGGTTTCCAGAGCTTATTACTGTAGTACTCACCAGAGTATGCCATAGGGACGACCACACTGTCACTTTCTTGATCATTGTAGATCACAACAGCTTCAGCACCCTTTTTGGCTGCCAGTTTAATCTTTTCTGAAAATCTGCAATTGCCTCTTTCAATCAACGCAATCCATGGTGCTTCTGTGACAGTGAACTCCGTGTTGGAATCACAGGCTTGAATGTTAGGTGATTTGGGAATGACCATGAGCCCCCGCGCTTTAGCCAAAGGAGAGTTTAAACCATACACTCCGCAATTACACTGCTCGGACACAGTGCTGTTGGTAGAAGTGTTCAAATAGAAGAGAGTCACGTAGGCTGGAACAATCGCTGCAGCTGAAATGGTCTCTGCAGCTCTGAATAAAAGAGCAACAATCAGGAAGTAGGAATAGCTGGACTTATTCTCCTTCATTGCTTATTAATTTAAGCACAAAAGATGTTTAGAGTTAAAGATGTCTATATTTATTGTCAATGAATGATGACCACTGTTAGTCCACCGCTTACCTACGGAGTTTGAAATTTCAGGTTCAGGTAGGTAAGTGATCCCACCCACAGAAATACAAGTCCTCAGTGACTCAGCTCTATTACAGATAGCTTATACAAGGAAAAAAATCCACACACTTGGTTACTGTTACCATGAGTGCTTGTAAATGAAAACTTTGGCCCCATATAATAGCCACTCCTTAAGGCCCATCAGCTTGAGGTTGTTTTTTTTTCCCCCCATTTTTCTACAGACTTCTGTCTGTACCCTAGTTGCACTTTAGAGGTGGCTGTATCAACCCCTGAACAATAGCCAAAGGAGAGTTTAATCGGTACGAGCCACATTCACATCTAGGATAGGCTTCTATTTAGTCCTGAATGTTTCTCCCAAGGGGTCAGCAAATGTTCTTCCCTTCAAGCATACACCAGAATGACCTTGCTTCAGAACAATCTGAGACTCTCATTAAAAACAAGACTCTCATTTTAACTCTGATTAAAAATAAGAGAGGATCCGTATAATCTTATACAGTGGAAGAATTAAGTGGGATTGAATTAATCCAAGATGCACCTAAAGCCATGGCAACACTAGTGAGCTTATGTAGCCATTCTATACAGTCAAGACAGCATGCTCCTTTTAATATAATTAAACAATCTCCACTGCGTGGTGGCAGCTGTCTCCTGCCGACATAGCACTATCCACACCAGTTCCTCAGTGAAACTTACGTTGCTAAGTGGGGTGTTTTTTCCACACCCTTGAGCAACATACGTTATACCGACAAAAATGATTGCACAGTCAAAGCTTTAATCTTGCATTCCTCCGTTTCTCACTCAGCCTCATCTATATTAAAAAGCTGATACTGGTGTAATTGGATCACTTTAAAAAAGAAAAAAGTCAATTTAGTTGCAGCAGTGCAGACTAGGGATGTTAGCATGTAGACAATTAGTGTGTAGGGATGTTAGCATGTAGCCTGGGCTTGCTGGTTAATCATATTGACTACATGCAACACCTCCCCCCATTGCTTCCTCTGTATCAGAGGCAAAAGTGGGGGGAAGAACGGGGAGGTGGGGGAGGAGACAGGCAGCTAGTGCCCGGGAGGAGCTGGCTGCACATGCTGGCTCCCGCAGAACTGCTTGCCACTCCTTGCTCCTCCCCCCCACTGCCTCCTTCAGGAGACAGCAGCAGGTGGGGGGATCCCACCTTCCCCCACACTGCACTGCTGCCTCTGTGGAAGGTGGGGGCAGGTGGCTCCTCAGAAGCCAGCATGCATGGACAGCTGGCTTAAAACTCAGCTCCCTGTGTGTGTCAGCTTCCACCTGCCCTCCACGCGCTATTGCCTCTGTGGGAGGCAGCAAGGGAATGGCAGGCAACTGTGCAGAGCCAGCCTGAGTGGAGAGCCAGCTTTTAAGTCAGCTCCCCACACATGCACAATTTGCGGAGCTGCCTGCCTGCCTCCCCGTCTGTCTCCCACAGAGGCAGCAGCATGGGAGGTGTGAAGGGGAGGCGGGGACCAGTACATGCAGGAAACAACTTTCAAGACAGCTCCCCGCATGTTGTGGCTCCTGGGGTGCCTCCTGCCCCCTTATCAGAGGCAGCAGAGAGGGGGCCGGCAGGAGCTGGTGCTCACGGGGAGCTGTCTTAAAAGCCAGCTCCATTCTAACACTGGCTCCTGCCTGCCCCACCAAGTGTAAATGTGTAACCACTAGAATTTTCAGTGGTTACACATTTACACAAATAAATGATTAACATCCCTAATGCAGACAATCAATTAAAAAAAAAAAACCACTTAATCCTCATTTAAACATCAATTTTTCTTTCACTTTTGCCATACCTTTTAATTTTCTTTGCTGATTTTCATCATCACGTCATATCATGTCACATTATATACTCTACTTCCCAATACAGTGTGCTCCAGCATTTGCCCCTTAGTACTATGCTAGTCAAAGTTCCCATTTTCCAGATCCAATCTTAGAGCATTTGCCAGCCAATTCTGACCTCAGATAAATCTACAGGCAGTCCCCGGGTTACGTACAAGATAGGGACTGTAGGTTTGTTCTTAAGTTGAATCTGTATGTAAGTCGGAACTGGCGTCCAGATTCAGCCGCTGCTGAAACTGATCAGTTTCAACAGCGGCTGAATCTCAAAGTTCCCATTTTCCAGATCCAATCTTAGAGCATTTGCCAGCCAATTCTGACCTCAGATAAATCTACAGGCAGTCCCCGGGTTACGTACAAGATAGGGACTGTAGGTTTGTTCTTAAGTTGAATCTGTATGTAAGTCGGAACTGGCGTCCAGATTCAGCCGCTGCTGAAACTGATCAGTTTCAACAGCGGCTGAATC